ATCCATTTTAAGATGTATCTATCCTCTTTTGTGACAAGCTGCTAGGCCGCAGTACGGTTCTGGGCCCATAGAGTCCATGTTGGCTCCCTTTTTGGCAAACATGTCAACCTGTTTGTTGCCTCTATGCCCCGAAAGTCCAGGGACCCAAGACTCGTGGGAAGGAATTGATTAACCGCACTTGGGGATGAATCTGACTGTGCCAAACTTCATATTTTCACTTCGGGAATGAATCTGTACAATTATTCACCTTTTTCTTTAAATTTTTCTTAAATATTACTTACAATTTTATTGATTTTTATTGATATTATATTAAAATTTGCCTTAGGAAGTTTAAGAGTTTCTCTATTCTACGATTATCTACAGATTATCACCTAGACTTTTAGATTGCCAGATATTCTGCGTTTATTCTTCTCCATCTCGAATTGAAAATATTTAAGGATGTGCTTGACTGTTAGTCGTTTTTGACATCTTTGGCGATTAAGAGAGGAGGTTCCCTTGCCATGAGGCAAAGCCTAGTACATGGCAATGTCTTAAAAATGATGAATGGTGGAGTGAGTGCGATGTTCAATCCTTTTAAAAATATAGTTCTTACTCACAGTAAGTTGTTTTCCAATGATCCGGATTTCGAGCTTTCAGCTCTTCATCAGGTTGAAGGAGTTCTACAACCTGATAATGAGCTAAAAGCTCGAAATCCGGATCGATGGAAAACAACTTACTGTGAGTCTTTTTAAAAGGATTAGTAATGTCTTATTCTTAGGCGTGCCAAGACCGTTTCATGAACCGTCAACTCCATGCCAGCTAAGACAGTTTTCACAGATTTTTGTTGACACAAGGGACCTCAGAAGCTCGGTCAATCCGAATGCATTGAATTAATGGTTATTAGGTTAAGAAGAATAAATGAACTATAAAATGCTAAATGTTAAAAATTTCAATACATTATATTACAATAAATAATTAGTATTTTCCTTATCGTAGAGTCAAATATGGAATTTAGTGTTTTTGGATGGAGACAGTCTGAATCGAAGCCGTGTCAAGAGGTTGTTGTTTAAGCTGTGAGGGAGGAGTCAGCCTCTACGATCTTGCGCACCGCGACCAATATTGGTCTATAGTGCAATCTCCATCATTGTCCTTGAGCTCTTTTATAAGTTCCCAAATCGTTGTTATGTTTGTATTGGCTTTTTCCTCTACCGGGAGGCCTTTGAACTTAACACCGCTTAGGCTTGTTTCTTTATGTGTGCCTCTAGAAGCTGTAATGTCCACTCAGAAGTCCTACTATTCTAACAAGTGCAAGATTTGTTTAATGAAATAGTTTATCTGTTAATTTTCGCTTTGATCTTATTTCGATTTTCCTCTCCCGAGAGATTCTCATAACAGAGGAAATGTTCCGTTGTTTCTTCTTCCTGGCAAATTTTGTACAGGCCTGGTTCTGCTGATTCGAGATGTTTCGGAGTTTGCAGTGTGCAGTCAGCAATCCTAGGAACTAGCGTCCTTTTGGCCCCAACTCGTCCTAGGTTTAATTGTTCTGCAATCGTCTTTTAATGAACTTTTACCTAAACAATTAATTAAGGTTTTTAGTTGAGATAAAAAAGTCAATGGCACGAGCGGGATCGAACCCACGATCTTCGGCTTGATACGCCGCTGCTCTACCACTTGAGATATCGTGACCTCGATCCACTCGGGCACTGACNTTTAGTGAAATATACTTCATTTTAAATCATTAAATTCACTAATTTCGTGGACCGCTTGACCAATTAATATATTACAATTAATTAAGGTTTTTAGTCGAGATAAAAAAGTCAATGGCACGAGCGGGATTCGAACCCACGATCTTCGGCTAGATACGCCGCTCCTCTACCACTTGAGGGAGTGGATCGAAAGTCACGATAGGTCAAGTGGTGGAGCAGAGGCGTATCAAGCCGAAGATCGTGGGTTCGAATCCCGCTCGTGCCATTCACTTTTTTATCTCGACTAAAAACCTTAATTAATTGTAATATATTAATTGGTCAAGCGGACCAAGAAATTAGTGAATTTGTACCTAAACTTATTATAGGATAGGCATCGTAGATATTGAAATGCATAATTTGTGACTTGTGACGTAGTAAATTAGTTTATAATAATTTTTGTGACATCCACTATCCGTATCTAATGTAATTTTATATGTAATCAGAACTAGCAGATCTTCATTTCATAAGCTACCAATTGAAGTGTACAGAACGACGGAGCATAGTAGGTTAAATTATTTTTTCGAGCGAAAACGTTGTTATTCCTTTTTTTACACCTTCAAGAACCACTGAATACAAATTTTTGGGAAAAATCAAAATTTTTTTCTCCTAAATGTTTCGCTTTCCTCTCTCTCATATCCAATTTTTGTAGAAAATCACAAAAAACAGTGATAACTTTAAACGCTTTCACTGATTTACAACCAACTTTACAACGCTTTGGAAGCTTCTAAACTTCACATAATGCCACAAACCCGGTCTTGTTAAATAAATCACAACCAGAGATATCAAATAAAAGGCTTAGGGTTTTTGATGATTTCATCGTCGTTTTTCACTTAAAGAGATGTAAAATAACCAACTAAACCTTGACATGATGACGTGTGCTAAATGAAAGGAAATTCAGCTATCCAACGATTACAATGACGTTCAAATTGGATAAAATTCAGAGAATTTATGAATTTTAACTGAAAAAACGTGAAATCGAAAAAACCCGGCAAATCAATTCTAAAATATGTTTATTTATTTTTTAAAAATTCATATAACAAATCGTATTTAAGGGCTTTAAAGGGTGCTTAAAACAAATCCAAATTATAATTTTTTGAATACAATTTGTTCACCTATTTTAAGTGAAACAAGTTTTGGTGTTTGAAACTTATTGTATATTATCTCATTTATTTATAGAAGCATAATTTTTGAAAGAAGGACTTAGGAAAGTAGAATAAAATATTTTTTAAGCAAGAAACAAAGGTTAAATTCGTTTATGCATTTTGGAAACTCATGAAAACAAATTTTTGGGAAAGTAAAAATAAATATGTTTTTCCTCTTAAATTTTTCTTCCAAATTTCCTCCTGTTGTCAAAAATCACAAAACTGTGATGAAATTAACTCATTTGCACCAATTCACGGGAAACTTTACAGTACTTTGGAAACTTCAAAACTTCACATAATGTGTGGTGTTTAGTGACCGTTAGTTAATGATTATTTGTACATCGTGAAATGCGGTCTGATGTGTCCTAGGTTTTAGAAAAACATTTTCTTTATGGTGCCAATGTTTCTTTCTTTATTGAGATCATCTTCAGGGCCTTGTGTTGTCTGCATTTCACCAAAAATGTCTCTATTGATAGCAGATGCAAGTTTCTTCTCATTGTTGGCGATATATTTCAGAATATTCTTTCCTTGGTGCCCATACTTTCAACTACATATGGACACCAAGATGATCTCAATAAAGATCAAAACGTTGGGACGATAAAGAAAATATTTTTCTAAAACCTATGTTACTGCATTTCACGAGTTGCAAATAATCACTTCACATAATGCCACACCTAGTCTTGCTAAATAAATGACGACCAGAGAAATAAAGTGAAACGCTTGGGGAGTTTATCTTGATTTCATACAAGTTTTTCTCATTTATAATGATATTAAATGTAAAATTTCTTGACAGAGGCTAAACGAAAAGATATTCAGCTAACGTTTGTAATAACTATTCGTTTTATGAAAGGCCTTGGTCGAGATGAAAATGTTAGTGTCACGAGCGGGATTCGAACCCACGATCTTCGGCTCAATACGCCGCTGGTTTAACCACCTGTTGTCACGATAGCTCAAGTGGTTAGAGCGGCGTATTGAGCCGAAGATCGTGGGTTCGTATCCCGCTTGCGACACTAACTTTTCCATCTCGACCAAGACCTTACATAAAACGAATAATTAATTGAAAAAAGTAATTTGGTCAATTAGGCCACTAAACATAATGGATTGTAATAACGTTCAAATTGGATAAAATCCAGAGGGCCTTTTAACTGAAAACCTGAAATTTGAGGGAAAAAATTTACCCCTAATTAAATTATTAAATTACAAACTTAATCAAGTCCAAAATAAGTTGGTTTTTTTCTATTTCCTATAAAAATTCGCATTTATGGGCTTTAAAAGGCTCTTAAAACGAATCCAAACTGTTTTGTTTGAAAAATAACATTTTTGGCTTACTAAACTAGAAGCATCTTTTGATTTTGGTATCGTTTTAAATATCTGATCTTTTTTCAGACGATCCTGCCTATTATTTTCTTATCCTGGGTACAAAAAAATTGACTGATATATAATAAACCTTGAAATATATGCACAACAATTGCAAGTCTTTCGTTAACAATTAGTCGAAAAACATCCAATATTTTTCTACCTAGCATCACCAAACAAGGTTTCATAAAAAATCTCACCTCCCAAATAATTAATTTATTTAATAAAAGTTGGAGTTTTTATCGACCTTTCAGTAATCACATTAGAATTGTTTTATGTATGTTCATAAGGTCTTTGTGGTGAAGAAGAAATTTTTGGGTTCACCAAACTTTGGGCGATTTACATCGCCATCCTCAAACGATATAAATCGCCGAAACCTTGATGAAAAAGTCTACTTCATCCAAAAGCCTTATGAACATACATAAAAAATTACAATTAATTAAGGTTTTTAGATGAGATATAAAAGTCAATGGCACGAGCGGGATTCGAACCCACGATCTTAGGCTAGATACGCCGCTCCTCTACCACTTGAGCTATCATGACCTCGATCCACTAGGACACCAACTTCCCATCTCAACCCCACCTTTTTGAATTTTCCCTCCTTTCCCTCTCCGTGGCCATTTCATTTGTCGTCGANGTGTGTGTGTGTGTGTGTGTGTGTGTGTGTGTGTGTGTGTGTGTGTGTGTGTGTGTGTGTGTGTGTGTGTGTGTGTGAATGAGTAAAAGATATAAAAACTTTAGCTAAAAGTTTTAGAAATGAAATAAGTCAGTTTCGCACCCGAAAACGCCGACAGCCACAGCAGCTTCTCGTATCACTCGTTCGTGGTCCATTTCGACGAGTGTCTCCGGCCTAATCGTCGCTGTGTTCCTTGGCTGCCTTTCGTTCTGAACGGCTGAAACAAAACCAATTTTTATTGTTTTTAATATATAAAAAATCACCCATTTCATTAATTGTTTTTATTATTGCCTGAGTGATTTTTTTGAATAGGGCCAAGTCTATAGAGTCCAGGAGCTGAAACAATCACAAATCGCTTCTTTTACAAATGATAATTCACATTATCTCCTAGCCTTCTAATTTGACGCCCTTTTTATTTTACTTTTGAAACTTTCGGAAAGTCGTTAAGCTTCGACTTGATACTTTCTTTACTTAGGAGTCTGTATAACTTTAACTGCGAAAAAATGACACTTATCGCCTGGATTTCTTTTGTCTTAAGTTTAAATCGCTTTAGCCTTTCGAGATAGTTTTCTGTTTAAGAATATTACGGTCAATTATGAAAAAGATTCAGAAAAAAGTTCAACTTTAGAGTTTGTATACCGAAAATTACTCGTTAAATTAGCACAACTGTTGAAACGTTGATATACATCCTTATATCGTAATACCGATGGAAAACCGTTCATCTTTTATCTCAAGAGTTGAGATGTTGAGATGGCTTAAAAGAGAAAATGTTTCCAGGTCCGTGAAGCAGAAGGAAAACCGGTTAATTTTACCTGTGCTGTCTTTCAAGACGAGGTCAAAACGGTTCGGCAATACGCGATTAAAGTTTCAACCTGAGACCTCTTCGTGATTAGGGATGGTATTTGTGTCAGGTCAAATAAAGCAATTTATTTTTTAAATTAAATCCATTATATTTTGTGGTCCGATTGATCAAATAACTTCTTTCAATTAATATTGAATTAATTATGTAAAGTCTTGGTTGAAATGAAAAAGTCAGTGTCACGAGCGGGATTCGTACCCACCACCTTCGGCTTACCTAAGATTAGTTAATAAGAAGATATTTGGTGAATCGGACCACGAAATCTAATGGATTTAATAAGTAAAACGAAGTATATTTTCACAAACAGCTCTCCGTGGCCACTTCATATGTCGCCCAGAATAGAATCCTGATTACACGACATTTGAAGGAGGGAGGAGGGAAAATTCGAAAGGTTGTAGGTTGAGATGGGAGGTTGGTGTCCGAGTGGATCGAAGTCACGATAGCTCAAGTGGTTAAAGCAGAGGCGTAGTAAACCGAAGATCGTAGGTTCGAATCCCGCTCGATCATTTCAACCAATACCTTACATAAAAAGATTAATTAATTTTAAATTAAAGTTGATTAAATTTAATACACTCCACAGTCTTTTGACGAGTTCATGAAAGACTTATCGGTAAACTATGAGGGATGCTTTACGCCCTAACACACAACAGTCTATATTCAGAACTAATAAAAATTTAGGAGTGCCCCAAGGGGGAATACTAGGTCCAATATTTTATTTTCTATAAATTTGTGATTTTTTAATGCTGTTTAGTTATTCACTTGTGGGAAAAATAAAGAATTTCGAAGTATTACCTGACCATGGTCAAATCTTTCTGACTATGGAGTCGTTAATTTTTTTTTTTTGGTGATAATTCGTGCATACCACTTTTACCGAAGTTAGCTTGGATTCCAAATGACAATTCAAAATACAAACACACGCTTGGTTAGGTGTTAAAGGTGTGGTACGCCTGGTTAGAATTATTTAGAAAACCAAATGTCTTATTTTTACAACCAAACCTATTTTTGTAAGCAAAATATGAGTAAAATTTCAACTTAGCCCATTTTAATTTTGTATTACTCCTTCATAATTTTACATTAACCCTCCCTAATTTCTTATAAATTAATCTCTTTTATTTCAAATTAACCCTTCCTAATTTCGTATTAATCCCTTTTATTTCATATTACCCTTCCCAATTTTCGTGTTAATCAATTTTAATTTAAAATTAACCCTCCGCAATTTCGTATTAATACTTTTTAATTTCAAATTAACCGTTTTCAATTTCGTATTAATCCTTATTAATTTCACATTAACCCTCCCTAATTTCTTATAAATTAATCTCTTTTATTTCAAATTAACCCTTCCTAATTTCGTATTAATCCCTTTTATTTCATATTACCCTTCCCAAATTTCGTGTTAATCAATTTTCATTTAAAATTAACCCTCCGCAATTTCGTATTAATACTTTTTAATTTCAAATTAACCGTTTTCAATTTCGTATTAATCCTTATTAATTTCACATTAACACCCCTGATTTCATATTAATCCCTTTTAATTTTCAATTAACCCTCCTTAATTTCTTTTAATTTAAATTAACCCTTTTTAATTTCATATTAATCCTTATTAATTTCACATTAACCCTCCCTAATTTCGTATTAATTTTTTAAAATTTCATATTACCCTTCCCCTAATTTCGTGTTAATCCATTTTAATTGAAAATTAACCCTCCGCAATTTCGTATTAATACTTTTTAATTTCAAATTAACCCTTTTCAATTTCGTGTTAATCCTTATTAACTTGACATTAACACTCCCTAATTTCATATTAACCCCTTTTAATTTCAAATTGCCCTTTTAATTTCGTCGTAATACGTTTTTACTTCAAGCAAACTCTTTTTAATTTTGTAATAGTACTTTTTATCATCCAATTAATCCATTTTAATTTCAAATGAGCTTTTTTTCAAAAACACCGGCACCCCGAGGGTTGATAAGACCTCTGCTGTTACGAACCCTCGCTAAAAAAACGTAAATTTGAAATAAAAGGGACTAATTTGAAATTAAAACAGCTTAATTTGTAGTTAAAAAGTTAATTTGGTAAAAACGGTCACTTTAAAAAGGTTAATTTGAAATGACAGAAAAGAAGGTTAATTTGAAATGAAAGGAAAGAAGGTTAATTTCAAATTTAAAGTTAAAAATTCAAAAAAGTTAAAATCAATACCAGCACGACCTTCTTCCATCGGCACTGATCCCTTTTAATTGTTCGTATATTTTAATTAATAGTGGATCGATTGAGGTGTTTCTACTGAGTTGTGAGACCGCACTGGGCAAATCGGTGCATCATCATAAACGTTTTTTTCTTGCTTTCCTGTCATTTTAAATTTCGCAAAAATAATCTACACGCCAACCAGCCAGTTTGACGGTCGATGATCTATTAGTCATAGATCATGATTGTTAAATAACGCCTTTTAAGATTGGCGCTGAAGAAAAGCCGGTAGGAATATTTCGGTCCAATTAAGTTGACCATTGATTATTGTGAGGGTTAAAGGATCGTGAGTTTAACGAGGGTGCTCGCGGGTGCCAAGTGCGTTAATTGCAACACGCCCTCTGGGCATCTCCGGCTGAAAGAACAAGGGATCAAAGCGATGGCAAATTGTGTGCATTTCTAATGAGGTCGGCCGGGAACAAACTACTTTGTATATTTAACGAACAATGACGACAGCACGTGCCCTGGGCCCGCAGTTAACCACAGTCGGCCACCCTCGATGTAATCTATGCAACAGATATTTTAAAAAGAGCATTAATGGTCGCGTGCCACTCGTGCCGCGCGGCTTCACGGTGACACTCTCTTGTAAATTGAGGTTTAGAAAACCTGTTTTTCTTTTTTCTTCCTAACCCCCGGTTACGGGGATTTGACCGAGAGAAAAATCCCAAATCGACTTTTCACGAGCTTTTTGAACTTCACGACGGAACTTTCAGCAAATACGCTGTGATTCGATCCTATTTGTGTGTTATTACAAGGTAGAAAAATATTAGATACGTGTCACAACGATCTTACCGGAAAATAAAGAATAAAAATAATTGAAATATAAAAAAAATATATGGTTTTCTGATTTTGTTATGCATATAGTTCAAGGTAAATATATATCAGTCGATTCGTTTTAGTATATTTACGTAGAATAATAAAATGATATGCAGAATTCTATTAAACAAGAATACATACACAAAAAACGTATAAAAACCATGAAACGCGTGAGTAAAAAGAAGTTGGATTCATTTTATGCTCGCTTTTAAGCCCTTAAATATGAATTTTCATAGCTAACAAAAATTGTAAATTTTTTGGTTGGATGTGCCGGCCGGGGGCAATATTTTTTTAAATCACTGACGTTGTCCAATTAATAATTCATAACTCCTCTGGATTTGATCTGAAATAAAATTTTCAAATTGAAATGGAAAAAAAACCACTGGAAAGCTGACTAATTCTAATTTCAGCCAATATCAGAGGTTTTGGATTATATATCATTATAAATGTAAAAAAATAAAGATGAAAATGAACAAAAATTGCTCAACCTTTTTTATTTCAAGTANGACAAAAGACCACACGTTTCACACATGGCACGACATGAAAAATCATTTGCTGAATAGTTTCAGACAGACATCTAACTTAGAGACAATAATGAATGAAATCTCGAGTTTACAAACAAAAAATCCGTACAAATTATATGAAGAGACACAAGACAGATTCTTTGAATTTAAAGGCACACTCGGTCTAGAAAACTACAATGACCAACAGCAGAAGCGGTCAGCGAAGTAGTCGAAAAATGGGTGGTTCACATTGGGAAACTGAACGAACCATTCAGAAGTAACTTAGCTAATAGAAATCCGAAAACTCTGCCTGAAGTTGGAAGTCTTCTTCACAACGATTATCAGTACCTAAAACAACATAATTTCACAACACGACCTCAATTTATTAATAAATCACCCGGTAATCAACGATTCTTAAATTACGGGGCGACATCTCAATTTAAAAATTTCACAAAGGAACCAGGAAATTCCCAACAGACTCATTACCAACAAAACATGTTTGCACCCAAACAACAGATTCACAACGGGCAAAACATACATCCAACACCTATGAGCATTTCCACACGGGGTACACAACAAAACCCCATATTCAACCGCAACATTCACAATTTTAATAAAACTTCTGGACAAAATAGGTATAAATTAGAAGGGTTAAATAACGTTGCAACTACGGAAAATTTTGAAGACAACGAGTCTCAAAATGACTTTGAATATGATTTAACAGAAAATTTTTCAGGGGATATAGAAACAAAAGACCTAAGTCAGTACCATTTTTTAGAGGGTGGAGAAAAATTCTCGAATATCACTTAAACAATACTACCGAAAGCATGCTACCGTATATTTTATTCCCGAATAATAATTTAAAAATCCTTATCGATACAGGTAGTTCGAAATCGTTTATCAAACCAAATATTTAAAT